GTCAACTTAATAATACATAATCACAAAACTTGAGCAAATGTTGTTAAATATAAAATTAAATAAAGTTGTGTCATTGCAAATGTTGAATTTCTTGGTTGGGTTGGGTAGGGTAGGTTTCACAATTTGTTTTCAATTTCTCTAATAACTGACTTTGTCATATATTACCACTAGATTTGTCATGCCGGTTCTAGGACGGACCAACATTCATGTACATGTCACACTAACAAAACCTCATAAATGTATGCCTTTGAAACAAAATTAATCATGTTTCAATATTGCATCAAGATAGTGATTGATAGTGACGTAATACTGATAGTTATGTACAATATGTGCCTGATCTAAGACTTTTATATATTGCAACAAAGTACATAAAGACCATCCATAAATCAATCGTATATACTACATATCATTAAATGTGTTGTTACATTTTCTCTCTACTCTGACATAGATCACCAGCAGTAAACACTATTCTTCAACCAAAATATTTTGTACTGCATAGTTCTTACTGAAATATTAGAAAAGATGCCCAAAAATAAAATGTACAAGTACGTGGCTCTTATATGATGAAATATAAACTATAAAGCAAAAAATTGGGGTCTTTAGGATCATCACCTTCATAGACATCATTATCATTAAAACCTATAAACTGCATGAACAATTAGATTTTTTTTAAAAAAAAACAATCAGAAAAGTGTTTCAAAAGAAATCATGATCAATAATTCTCAACCCCCCAATTTTCTAGGAACGAAATGGTAGGGAAAACATTATAATGCTACATTATCTTAAAAGAAACCATAAATGGTTATTCCATATACATTGCTCTACTTGCTTGCTTGCGATAAAATTATTATTGAAACAAAATAGTACATCATCTTAAAAGAATTTGAACTTTTGTTTGACTCAATTAAGAGCTTCAGTTTATATAGTATATTATTATCAAATAAAAGAGATAAACATGAGTTGATACGATCAATGAGTATTAACATAAATCAAGAAGACAGCATCAATTTGCCCAAATTAGTAATCATATGCTAATCATTCCCATCGAAAAACATTTGTTTTCCTCCTCCTTTTAGCTTGTCCAGATGTTGCACTCAATATCATTATATATTTTATTTGTCTTAAAAAAAAGAGAGAGAAGATTTGTCTTTTTCTATTTTACTCTTCTGTGTTAATTACATACCTAAGAAATTATAGATAAAATACATGTGCTATTAAAGTACACACAAATAGTTGTGTGAAACAAATAACACATTTAAGTTGAAGTATGTGCCCCTTTTAAACATTTGAACAAATGCTGTCATGTACCAAAATCTTTGAAATTTAAAATGAATTAGGAACAACATATTATTGTCTTTCACAAAAGCTAATATGCCTCAAACATTATCTTCTTCTTTTTTATTATCTTCCTTTCGATTCAACATATCTTTTAGTTAAAAAAAAAGTCGATTCAACATATCTTTTAGTTAAGAAAAAAGACAAATGCTTGTTACTGTAGACCACCATTTGATTAACAATAACAATAACAAACTCAATCATGAGTATCAGTTTGTATTGTGGACTCTTTAATCCAAGAGTTACTGTTTTCATGCTAACAGATATTATAACGTAAGACAACATCCTAAGAACCTCCAATTTTCTAAACAATTATTTGATTTAGAGAATGTAATATCAGAAGAACTACAACATGTACGGTTGTAAACAATATTTCACAAGGTTCGACATTCTTAGTGCCCGTTTGGACATGGTTATTCTAGGTGCTTTTAAGTCAAAATAACTTTTAGATAGTTTTGAAGTGTTTGAATAAAATTAAAAAATATTTATAAGCAAGTCAAAAGTAACAAAAAAAAATAAGCCAAAGAACCTTCTTGAGAGTATTTTTATTATGGGATAAAGCTTTCTTTTTTATCAACTTATACAAGTATAATGATACGGGACACAAACTTATAATCTAAGTTGCAATAAATGTCTATTCCATGAGAAAAAATCGAAGAGGTGATGCGCAGAACTGTCAATCTAATTCAAACAGAGTACTAGCTCATCAGAAAAGAGATTCAAAATAAATTAAATTAGTACCATCATTTGTTTCTTTGCCGCTTTCGTCTTCCAATGATACCCGCAGATTTAAACCCACATATCTTATTAAATTGTAAAATTTGGAAACAATGAAGAAAAAAGAAGAAGCTAAGAACAAAATTAATTCAAAAAATATAATTACTTGAAAACATCGACAACAAGAACAGAAATAGTCAAACACTCTTGAAATTTGAGAGCAAGAAGAGCAGCTTGATAATACTACTCGAAATCTTATTTAGCATTTTAAAGACTTAACATTTAACCAGATGAACCAAGTTGTTCTCTAAGAGTTTTGCCTTCTACAAGGAAAAATAATAATAATCAAATACTCCATATAGAATGACTCAGACATAACATTAAACATCCTTGATGCACAATTCATTTTTAAATTTCTATGCGATCAACTGTAACAAATATAAAATCTATCAAATTAGTACCAATTATAATAAACAATATTATCAGAAAATCCACTCGATTGTTACCAAAGAATTTATGAAGACCATTATTATTAAACAAAGAAGAGAGAAGATGTAAGTGAGAGCAGGAAAGAATGAAGAAACAAAAAATAAAAAAAATAAGCAAATGTCCAAACAGAAACAAAACAGGAACTGCATGTAATACACGTGTCTGTATGAAAAGACAAAAGCTTTCAAAAGTTGAATTCTAGATAGTACATCTCATGTAACATTTGGTACTACAATTTGCTGCCGTGTTCGTCCCACTCAAGTCCCATTTCTAAACAAAGATTTATTTATTATTATCACTTCTTTTTTTCAATTATAATCACTTAGTGAAAAGTAGCCATCTAAACCTTTTTTTTTTCTTTAATAATTCTTTCTCCAAAACATGTTACTGTTCTTGGTAAAATATTTTTTTATGACTGAACACAAACTTGCTAGGGAAAAGATATGTTTATCCTTCTAATTTTTTCTAAATTTCAATTTGTATGTTCTATTTTTCTTTTGAGAAAATGATCTGATATACCCCTCAACTTTATAATTTAGAGTTGATATATTCCCTCGTTATAAAAGTGGTGTGGCTCACATATACCTTCATTTAACGGAAGTTAAAAAATTAGTTTTAAATTTATATTTATTACTTCTAATTTTTTTAAAAGATTATTTAGGGTATATATGATTCTTCTATCAAAGTTCAATGTATATTTTAATAAACTATTTTTTGTGTGTATTGTAATTAAATTTTGTATTCGAAGAAAAAATTTGGTCATCTACAATAAGTTTTACAAGAATATTAGTGAAACATAAATAAATTTGATTATCAAAATAATAATTATAAATTCGTCATTGAAACAAAAAAAAGTCAGAAAATACGTCTCACGAGAATTAAATTTACTCATATGGGATTATATTTTTTAGAAAAATATAATAAAAACTTGGATTAATTTTTTTTTCCATTTCTGTTAGAGGAAAAGGGTATATGCGAGCCATTTGTTTACAAGTAGGAGTATATATGAGCCACTTTCATAACAACGGATATATCAGCTCTAAATGACAAATTTTTTTTAATAATTATTTCTCCAAAACATGTTACTGTTCTTGGTAAAATATTTTTTTATGCCTGAACACAAACTTGCTAAGGAAAATATATGTTTATCCTTCTAATTTTCTTTCTGTTTCAATTCGTATGTTCTATTTTTTTTTGGAAAAGGGTCTGATATATTTCTCAACTTTGTTATTTGAAGTTGATATATCCTTCGTTATAAAGTGGCTCATATATGCCCTTACCGTTATACAAACGACTCACATATACCCCTGCCGTTACAAAATGACTCACATATATCCCTCATTTAACGGAAATTAAAATATTAGTTTTAAATTTATATTTTTTACTTCTAATTTTTTTAAAAAAATTATTTAGGTATATATGATTCTTCAATCAAAGTAAGGTATATTTTAATTTTTCATACATAAATTATTTTTTTGATTTTTTTTATTATAATTATTTGAATTTCTTATTCTTATTTTGTTTTTTTCTTTTCATTTCTTAGTTTAAAGAAGAAAAAAAAAAAATTTTTTTTGTGTGTATTGTAATTTAATTTCGTATTAGAAGAAAAAAATTTGGTCATCTACAATAAGTTTTACAAGAATATTAGTGAAACATAAATAAATTTGATTTTCAAAATAATAATTATAAATTAGTCATTGAAACAAAAAAAAGTCAAAAAATACGTCTCACGGGAATTAAATTTACTCATATGGGATTATATTTTTTAGAAAAAAATAATAAAAACTTGGATTAATTTTTTTTCCATTTCTGTTAGAGGAAAAGGGTATATGCGAGCCATTTATTTACAAGTAGGAGTATATATGAGACACTTTCAAAATAACGGATATATCAGCCCTAAATGACAAAATTGAGGCGTATATCAGACTCTTTTCCCTTTTCTTTTTAATCCATTTTAAAAGAAGAGATCTCTTAAAGAATGTCTATTTTCATTTTAACAACTTTTCATGTCATGTAAGCCATAAAATTAAATGATATTTTGATATAGTCAACATATGTTTAGTATAATATTATAAGATCTAAAAATCTTCTTTACTTTTAATAATTTTGTGCCAAGTCAAAAAACAGACAAATATATTAAAATGAATCAGAAGTAAAACTCCCAACATCTTAACTGATCTTTGTACTAACATTATATTCATACTGTAGCAGGCTATTCACTTTTAACAGTTTAACTCTCCATGTTACCACATTAAACTTTTTATAAAGGGCTACCTATTGTTCTCATTCATCTTAACTGATACAGCATTAGAATATCCAGTGAAATTCTAAGGGTAGAGTAAACGGAAGCGTCACCGCTACTTCGTAGAGGTAGAGAGGCTGTTTTCGAAATATCCTTGGCTCAAGTACATCAAATCTATATAAAAGAAAAGAAAAAAACAATGAAAAACGCATAACAATTAGTACGAAAGCAGTATAGAACCTGTAATAGAGAAAGATCATACATCCCATTGCATAGTAGTTAAAATCTTTATATGCTTTGCTATAACGATATTTGGAAGGTCTTGTGCTCAATGACCAAATCTTTCACATAAAATGTTACAAATGTTGCAGAACATATGTCTAGACAGAGAGAAAAAACTATAAGAAAAAATCCCAACTTGACAATAACTTTTGACTTGTGCTCTCTTCTATAGCAATGTGGCCACGTTTTGGGGATCATTCACTAAAAAGGGTTTCAATCGAGGGTCTGTTAGCTGGGGAAGACCAGCTCTCGCTCCCAAAGCCCTACAGCCGATACCTGCCTGCAATTAACCCACAACGCAGAAATTAGCTTCTTTAACAATTTGCACAAGACACGAAGCTGAAGTCTACTGACCACTTGAGAAGCAAATGGCAACATTCTTTCTGGTGGCATATTGGCACAGAGAGCTGCAGATTGCCAGTGGGAAATCCATGAGAAATGAAACATTACAAACCTTCGATCAAGTGCGAAGGGAACAATGACATTAGATTTAAACTCACATGGATATAGACACGAGTAAGACTAGAGAAAAAAAAAACACTTAACATCCAGAAAGGAGGTGTGAAAACGATCCAATTGTCACAGTTAGAGGGGAAAGGGTGATGCAGGTATATAACACATTAAAAGGAAGAACATTAGGTATAAAGACTGCATCTTATAATTTTGCTTACCATACAGAACTGCTCCAATAAATGCATCACCTGCACCGGTTGTATCGACTAATTCTGATGGCGGGATCTTTTCAGCTGTTCCAAGAAGCAGCTTCCCACTCACTGTCCCGATGCCTTTTGCACGCAATTTTGCAATATCCTAGAAGAATACATGTACTTTAGTTTATTCAGCTTCATAAGAAGTGCCGGGGAGAAAAAAAAATCATAAGCAGCACCAAGAAGTCTCCAATAAAAAGAATTAAGAGGGTGATGAGTAATGGTATGACTGCAAGAGAACATGTGGAGGCAATTCATATTTGTAAAGATGAATATCATGAGGTACTAGAAAAAAGGGTACTAGCCAGGAAGAACCCTACATGACTCCCACTCCACAGTAGATACTCACTTTACAGTGGTGAACAAAATGAATTGTGTGCACGGATTTCTATTAGTTCATGAGCACTGTGGCCATGCATCGGCCGTCTATTGAATCATAAATCTTCTAATTGGTGAATTACCGAAGATATGGATGTTGCACTGGTTGCGTCAGTATCAATACTCTGCTTCATTTTCTTGAACAACTCATCGACATCAATTTCTTCAGACTGGAGATCCTCTGCAAATCAACCCAATAACTTGTTCATCTTTCGAAACGATTTGTTTGCCTACAAGCAGACACTTAATATACATCAGAAGAACCAAAAAAATATGCAAGCATACCAGCTTCAGCCCTTTCTAACATCATGCAACCATCTTCACCCAATGTCACAATTACAAATTTGATGTTTGGCAACTTTAGAAGTACAGAAACTAGAGCAGCTGGGATTGAAGGGGCCTCTGTCCATACCTGCGAGACAATACATCTTTTGTCAAGATCAAGAGAGCGAAAGACATTGTTGTGTCCCACATCAGCGGGATGAGGAGAAATTGGTCTCTTTATACGGTCGCAGACAATACTCACCTCTTGAGCTAACTTTGGGAGTTAGGCCCAAGGTCCATAACATGATATCAGAACCAAGCCTATACCAATTCATGGCTTACAGATGTTGGGGCCCACATTAAATTTCCCATGCTCTAGATGTCCAGCCCAGGGTGCTGGGCGTGTATGGTGATGAGTCCCACATGGTTGGATGACAAGAAATCTTTTTATATGATCTTGGGTGATCCTAACCTCTTGGGCTAGGAGGAGAAAAATTAACACTATTTCACCTTTTTTAAAAAGAGCATTGAGAACAATTTTATTCCCCAATAATGTGGTAAGCAGTGGCAAGGGATAAAAGCTTTAAGTTGTAACACACTGAGGGAGGAAGGGACTTGGTCGTCGAATTAAAATTGGAGAGACAACAAATCACTCCTGGACTCTATTAGCAACTAAGAATTAGAAGCAGATCACCAGATATCCAAATTGAAATTCCGCAGCCAAGGAACAGTGTCATTGCAATTTGTCAGTTGTAGCTAACTTGCCTGTGGAAATCTCGCTGAGCATACGACATAAGTTGCCAAGTTTAGAAGGTCATCTACCCTTTCTCTTTTACTTTCTGCATCAATTACAATAGGTATATTCCTCCGATGTGCCTGCACTGGGAATCCAAAAGGCATACAGTATTTCCCATTTTATTTGAAACATAAGTCTTCGGATAATTTGAACAAAAAACAAAAAACAATAATTAAGCTGGATATGTCGGCTCTAGGATGAATACAAGCAACATATTCAAAAGCAGAAAGTAGGCTAGAAATTTTTGCTAGTCATTACTTCCATTTGTCTGACAAAGAGGTTCAAGTAAAATTACCTCTCGAGCCACAACTAAAGCTGATAACAATTCAGTTTCTTGCAATACTCCATCAAAATATACAAATCTCACATCATCCAGAGCTGATGACAAATTCGACTTGGATAAATCCTCAGGTATCATAGGTGGGTATCCTGGGGTGTAAATGCAAGTCCGAGTTTTCCTGGTAGATCAAACAATACTAATCATGACTCACGAGAGCTAATAGCTTCAACAGAACAAATTCAGAAGGGTCAGTCTACCAATTGTATACACCAAGAGATAGTAAATATAATAAACTATGTTTATACTTCTCTCACGCAAATATGGTGGAGAAAAACTTTGTTGGTTTTTGCATAAGCAATTTTTAGTCTTAGAAAGGATAATTAAGACTGAAACCCATTATACAGAAGTATAGGTAATGTCCAATATACTGTTACTGATCTAGAAACCAAATATTAAGAAAATCACAGCAGAGCCATTTACAATTGATTCAACAAAACTAGAAAGTTCAAAATCTTGTTTTGAGGTAAAAGTCTGAAATATGCCAAACAATTACCAAAATGCAATTAACATAAATAGAGAGAACTCACGCTTGACTATCAACAATGACGTAAGAGAATGTCGAATGGCCCCCTTCGGATACCTGAACCCAACATTTAAGGTTGAGGTGAATTAAATGCTTGAGTTAGATCTGATGTTGCTAACACATTTGAAACCAATCAAATTGTGATTGACTAAACAGATGCATGAAACTACATCCATAATTATCCTACACGCAAGAACCTTCAACATTGCCGAACTCACCACCATAAACGATGTATCGACCCCATCAGCTTCCAGCTCTTCCAGTATTGCTTTCCCTTGAGAATCATCTGCAACCTACAGACAAAAATAGTAACAAAGAAGACTTTCAATGTGATTATTGCAAAAGGGTTATGTGGGGAAAGATGAAGAAATTAGAAAATAGTTTTATAGAAATAACAGTTACTGGTGACTCCTAAGACAATAATCACGAATGATACAGGAAATACCACAACAAGTCAGGTTATCATTAAATATGCTATGCAACTTTCAAAGGAAGTAATATATACAGTTGAATCTTGACCAACAATGTTGAGGGACAAGTTTGTCTCGTAGACTTACATCCATTTGCATTGGAACAAAGACTGTCTTTTCTCCAATCAACTCCAGAACTGTGTTACAAACCACTCGCTGGGAATCACAGTGGCAGGAGGTAAATTGGTGTTTGTTAATTCCAATAGCAAGGAGGAGGTTCAAGAAGCTCATGAGAACCATGCTAAGATAACAGTTATATGATATGATATTGGAGTTCATTATCTCACAATACACAGGTTGATTTTTATCTGTATCGGACGAAACAAGCTTTTCAGGGGCAACATAAAGGAATTCTTCTTTGAACCTCTGATAGGAAAAAATTGAGTTTCAATTTCATACTTGAACACAATAACACACCTAGTATGATCTCACTGGTGAGGTCTGGTTATACTTGAATAGTCAGAACAATAAAATAAACGAGAATATAAGTCAGTCAAAATACTCAAAATACTTATACAGCCAAACCTTTGATATAATTCTCGGAGATAGGCCTAAACGAGCTGCACAAGTCAAAGCATTCCCTGCATTGCCACCTCCTTGAACCTAATGACAAAAACACAACTTTCTTTGAAATTTCGACTATAAAAGAAAGTTCAGTATCAATCACACACAAAAATCAATCACCTGAAAACTGGTGCTTCGAATCTTATCATCAGGGTTAGGATAAGAATCAACAGCAACAAGGAAATCCACCGCCGCCATTCCACAACCTAACTACTCCCAAAAACAAATTCAACAGATATAGTAAATCCTATAACAGTTTCTAATTTATTTTTGACATGTCAAGAGTGTACGGAAGACCCACAACGCTATGATTTTCTGGGATCGCGGCAGTTTGTGGGGTTGACGAAATTGACATTTTAAACCTGAATTTATTCAAATAAAACATATATTATATCTTCAAGTTTACTTTACACAAGGAAAGTTATGATTTTGATTAGATTAAGATAACATACCTGGTGAAGGAAGAGTTACAGGTAAGATTACAACGTGTGGGAACATGAAGTAGCAGAGTTGACGGCGGTGATCGGCCGGAAAGTAACGGACAGTTACATGACTGCAACCGGAACGCCGCCATTTATGGGAGATGATCAAAATAAAGCAGTGATTTTGAGATGACAGAGGAAATGAATAGTTGGAGTAATCAGCTCTCGGTGAGGAAGGAGAAGTAGGCAAATCCTTTTTATTCTTTTCATTTTTTTCGCTTAGTGTGTTAATTATTTTAATTTTTTGAAATTATCTCTTACCCTTGTTTGGATCATTGTTACTTATTATTTCATAATATATTATATTAATAATATTTAATTTGATCATATCGTATAGTATTATAATTTATAAATTTTTTAAAATATCCTTAATTATTTTAGGAAAGGAGGTTTGACTAGATTGAAATAATTAAGATAAAAAGTAAAATGATATTTTGAAATATTATGTAAATATATAATCAAAAAAAATAAATAAGTAACAATGTGAACACCAAATTAATTATTCCATAAAATAGGATTTTTATTGTTACGTAACACAAAATTTAATAATACAATATAATATATTTTAAGTAGCAATTCAAACAAACATTATAAATATAGTAACGATACAATACAATGTACAATAAATAATAAAGATCCAAAGATAGAGTTAATCATAAATCGAATAAGTTATCTGCAAATTTGATTTGTAAAGGGTAATTTCTCATTGAATAATATTATATATATTTGAATTTATATTGAACAATGTTAGAATTAATGGATTGTTCTAAATCAAATATTTGAACAAATTTTATGAACGTATCTTTAAATATTTAACTTTTAGAGATAATTTTTTTTACCATAAGTAATAAATATAAACGTCTAAATATATTCGATCATGTTAAATTGTACTTTATCAAATATATACTTATTATAATTATATATTCACAACCAAAACATTATATTTGTAATTATGCATAATTATTATTACATACTAGAGGTGCACCCCTTTTGTTAGTAAGAAATAATAGTTAGTAATAATCAGACTTTTGATGAGTCAATTTAAAAAGTCATACTTAACCATTTTCCTGATAACATATTGTTTCATAGATAATTTACAAAGATTAGAAAAACTACTAAAAGATTCAAAAACAAAAATCTCAAATTTGTTATCAATTACGAACATAGTCAGACTTTACAATTTATTTTCTTAACGTTGATTGTGTGTATGGTGTAATTTAGAGAAAATCAATTTGCGAAGTAGCTTTCTAAACAGATCCTTATAATTTTGTGTAACTCAACTCCGACCCCTTAATTTTTAAGAAAAAGACCAAATCGTCGGGTAAAATTATTTAGAACTTGATGGATTTAGCGTCACTGTCCTCTATCTCTGATCCAAGAATTCAGAGAGTTCAATTGAATCCATGGAAACTGAAACCTTCATTAGACCCAACAACAAATCAAAGAAGAAACAAAGATCTCCACTTTTAACTTTCCTTTTTCTCTTCACTTTGATTCTCCTTTTCTTCTACTTCAAAAACTTCATTTCCCCTTCTCTTCTTCCCCTTTCAAAAAAATCAATACCCATTATACCCCGTCCCCAACAATGCAACCCCGAAAATCGCCTGCAGGAGAAGTTCATGTGGTATGCGCCTCACAGTGGGTTCAGCAACCAATTGGCTGAGTTCAAGAATGCGATTTTGATGGCTAAGATTCTAAATCGGACCCTAATTGTACCACCCGTGTTGGATCACCATGCTGTTGCGCTTGGTAGTTGTCCTAAATTTAGGGTTTTGGAACCTAATGAATTGAGATACTTGGTTTGGAATCATAGTATTCAGCTCTTGCGTGATTGCAGGTAATTTTGAAATTTTTATCAGTTCATAACAACCTCTTTAGCTTTAGCTCACTAAATAGAAAGAATCAATTTTTATGCTGTTCTTTGTGTTTGTGAATATGTCTGACTGAATTATGTAGAGTCAAATTGTTGCTAATGTTCTTTTCTCCACGGCTTCTTCACTACTGTATTCCCTTTCCGTACCTGCTTTGAAATGCTCTACTTGAGAGATTTACTACTGTATTCCCTTTTATGTACATGCTTTGAAATGCTTTACTTGAATCGAGGCTCTGTCCTTTCACAAGGTAGAGGTAAAGTATGCGTGGACACCACCCTCCCCGGATCCCACTTATTGTTGTTATAATATTTGGAGTTGATTTTATCACCTTTTATGAGGAATTTGCATGTTTCATGTCTGGTGCTTAATACTAGTATTCAAACTGTAGGTTAAATATTTTGTTACGCTTACATGATTTCCTGTTTGTGATGGGTTTTTTTCTGTTAGAGACTTGTATTTCAGTATACTGATTAGGAAGAGATTTAGAAACTTCTACTTTTAGATTAGAGCAACTCCTATTTTGATTTTAAAAGATAGATATTTCAATTGAAATGACAATGGCTGCACAGAGATTCATAGAAAGGCTCTAGTTTGGGATTTTGATTGCTTTATTGAATGTGCTTAAAGCCAGCATATAAACTTTATGCATTGACACAGTGCCAAAGCTTTACTGTAAACTTTGTCTACATTGTGAAACCCTATCTTTCTTGTTTTTATCTTTCTGCTTGCTGATTTATCTTTGATTTAATAAGTTATAATTATTAACTTTTGATTCTGCATTTTGATTTTTGACTGAATAAAGATGAAATTCCTTTTTGGATGGAGTATTTTGATGTTCCTAATAATCTGCTTACTTTGTGTTTTGCAGGTATGTATCCATGGCTGATATAGTTGACCTTTCACCACTTGCTTCCTATTCAACTGTGAGATTTATAGATTTTCGTGCTTTTGTGTCCTCCTGGTGTGGTGTAAACTTGGATGTTATTTGCTCTAAGAACCAAAATATACCATCTTCGTTATTCGAGAGCCTTCGACAATGTGGTTCTCTATTGTCTGGTTATTATGGTAGTTTCAGTGGTTGTTTGTCTGCTTTAAAAGAAGATTGTAGAACAACAGTTTGGACATATAAAAAAGACGATGAGGATGGAGCTTTAGACTCGTTTCAACCTGATGACCAACTTAGGAAGAAAAAGAAGATATCATTTATTAGGAGAAGGAAAGATGTGTATAAAGCTCTTGGCCCTGGTTCTGCCGCAGAATCAGCCACTGTTTTGGCATTTGGAAGCCTTTTCACTGCTCCTTATAAGGGATCTGAATCCCATATTGACATTCATGAAGCTCCTAATAATCCCATCGTACAGACCTTAATCAAAAAGATAGAGTTCCTTCCCTTTGTGCCTGAAATAATAAATGCCGGCAAGAAGTTTGCTCTTCAAACTATCAAGGGTCCCTTTCTTTGTGCACAGCTCAGGCTACTAGATGGACAATTCAAGAACCACCATAAAGCTACTTTTCTTGGTCTGAAGCAGAAACTAGAATCTTTGAGGCAAACAGGACAGAAACAGATCCATGTATTTGTGATGACTGATCTCCCCATGGCTAATTGGACAGGGAGTTACTTGGGGAACTTAGCAAAAGATTCCGATGCCTTCAAGCTGTTTGTTATCAGAGAAGAAGATGACTTGGTTCAAGAAACTGCTAGAGAAGTGATGGCTTCGGGGCATGGGCTAAAACTTGGTTCAGTTTCACAGAATACGGTAGGGATTAGCGAGCATCACCATCCTCAATCATTAACTGATGTTCTCTTATACATAGAGGAAGTAGTCTGCAGCTGTGCTTCTCTTGGTTTTGTAGGCACTTCTGGGTCAACAATTGCTGAGAGCATAGAGTTAATGAGGAAACATGACATTTGTTCCGGCTAAATTGCTTTGGCTCCTAGCTAACTAGTGTTACTTACCCAGCTTTGTGTTCACCCATTTGGCAGCTATAATCCATGTATCTGAAAATTCTCTCTTTTCAGAAGCGTGAACTTACAAATTAACAATGTCTTGATCGAATTCAAAGATGGACTAGGATGTCCTATTTGAAGGATACAAGTGATCCATACTGCTGGAAGAGGGACTAATGGATGAAGATTCTGCTGCATATATCAATGGATTAGAAGCACTGATAGATGGATCTGTCTGGTGCGGAGTTGTTCTATTCTTCAAATGCATACTGCTAACTAGATTCTACCCTTATAAAGGGAGGAGGTAAGTCCAGATTTGGATCCAATATCAACAACCTTCAAGTTTGGAAGACTATTCGTTGATTTGTGGCATTTAACAACCGATAGCTTAGCACCCTGTAGAACAATTGAACTGTACAAAATGTTTATGTACTCTGTTGGAGGTGCTCCTTCTCTTTCTTGATTACACTTGCTCAGAGCTTAGTACACCAAACAGAAAAGAAATTGAAAGGTTCTGCTCTATGTTGATTCTTAACCGCCGTTTGTCTCCTCTTCACTATTGTTTTCTATGGACATGGCAACACAAGCTTGTGATTATCTTTTGAGTCTGGCTGCAGTTGAATTATCTTCTGGGTAATTGAAAAATTATTAATAAATTGGTCAACTTTACTATTTGATAAAATTTGTTTAAACTTCAAAAACCATATTAATTGTAGGAATACAATAGAAAATAATTTATTTATTTTATCTTAATTTAATAAATAATTAAATAATATAAAATAAATAATTTCAGTAAGATGTACTTCGATGTTGTCAATTATTTGGCATTTTAGCTAGTGTGTTGACTTACGTGTTATTATTCATAAATTTGATTGTGGATGTGACATTTTTGGTTCACATCTTTAATGGCTCCGTCCACTGTTCCTGTAAATGCATATTTTTTTCATGTTGGACGGTCTGCCTACTTTATTTTTTTTTGTTCATTTTCCGTTAGTGAAATCTGATTAAATTTAAATAATAGAGCATGAAATTTATTTGGAGTGATATATTTAACACAATTTTTTCTATATCATGTGTTTGAATTTGAAATTTTTTATTAAAGATGAAATAATTTCTCCGTTGCACGATAACTCATTTTAGAAGTACCATTATTGATCAAAATACTATTAAATATTCAAATAAAATTTATTGACAAATTGATGTATCGCTCTTTTTAAAAAAAACATATTAGGAGTACTGAAAATAGAAAAATATGGGCTAAATATCCTCTTATCGTCACTATACCGACTGTTCACACTGCGGACCACACGAAGCAAAAAAAAAAAGGCTATAATTATACTCTTAATATACTATGAGCATTTTTTTTTAAAAAAAATATATATACTATGAATATATTAAAGTGGACGAACATTTTATTTTTTCCACAAAAAGTTGCCAATAGTTTAAAGCAAAATTACAGTCAAACTATGAATATGCAGATTGCCAGTATAACTGCCCACCTACTAGTATAAATAGAACACACCTAAAAGCGTTCTTGAAAAACTCAAACCGTCAAACGTGTCCAATCCTTATCTTTTCTTTTTTTCAAGAATTCAATTGGGTATTTGTAAAACAACCCAAGATTGGATTTTTTTTCATTGTGTAAGAATTTTGGTTTTGATCTGAGAGTAAGAGAGATGGAGGGTGTAGATTATTTGGCTGATGAGAGGAAGAAAGCTGGATTTGATGTGGATGAGATGAAGATTGTTTGGGCTGGTTCTCGTCATGATTTTGAACTTACAGATCGTATCTCTAAGCTTGTTGCTAGTGATCCTGTAAATCCCCTTACCCTTTTTTGTTTTTTTTTTCATCAAGTTTTAGTTTTTCTGTTTGATCCCCTTTTTTTGGATAGTCTTTTTGGGTATGGAGTGGCTGTCGGTAGATATAAATCAGTCCTTTTTGTGATTTTGCTTAGCTTTAGAATTGATGATTTATCGAGGGTCTTTCGAAAACAGAGGATAGGTAGTGATAAGGCCTGTGTACATTGGGTTTGTTGTTGTTTTTGTTGTTGTGAGAACTGATGATTGATTTTTCTTTGTTTTTTTTTTGGGTGTTTGTTCTTTAATTTTTTTTGTTTTTTGTGACATTGTTTTGGTGAAGATTGAGAGAAATATCCTTCTTATGATCATTAACTGTGTTTAAGGGAAATTTTTTTGATTTTGATAAGTTTAGGAAGCTAGTAATGTGTGTGATTTAGCTGGATATGGTGATGATGAAGAGGAAGTCCTTATTATGATCATAAACTGTGTTTTAAGAGATAAAAAGATTTTTTTTTATTGGAGTTTTTGATGCTTTATTTTCCTATTTTTAATTTTATTTATGGTGATGATGGAGAGAAAGTCCTCCTTATGATCATTAACTGTGTGTAAGGGGAAAAAAATTTGATTTTGATAAGTTTTAGGGAGCCGGTAATGTGTGTAAATTTATTGGATATGGTGATGATGGAGAGGAAGTCCATCTTATGATCATTAATTGTGTTTTAAGATAAGTTTGATTTAGAAAAGTTTTAGGGAGCCAGTAATATGTGTGATTTAACTGATATAAACTGATTTTGATTCTCTTTTATCTGTTTTTTTTTTGGATTGTTTGATGCTTTATTTTGTTGTTTTTGTTGTACATGGTTATGTGATGATGGAGAGGAAGTTCTCATGATCATTTAACTGTGTTTTAAGAGAGATAAAGGTTTAATTTTGATAAGTTTTAGGCAGCCGATAATGTGTGCGAGTTAACTGATATAAGCTGACCACATTTTGGAATTGAGCTTTCATCAAACATTATTTAATAGGCTAAATTTTTTTGACGTGGAATGAGGAGTCATTGTTTGGTGTGAAAATTACTCTGATGTTCTGAAGAAAGAAAAAGGTAAACACAACTGGTGGAGGTGGATTAGAATCTTTTGGTAGGAACTGGGACAAGTTTTTGATTAATGCTAACATGGATTTGATTTTTAAGATGAATTCGTCAGTAAAAGGTTTTTTCTTTAGTACTCACTCTCACAGCTCCTTGTTTTCCCTTTTTTGTACTGAAATCCATGATCCTTTCTGATGCTGAAAATCTATGGTGCCGGTCAAAGCAATAGTTTTTTTTCGATGTGATCTGAAATAGAGTTTTCATTTTGGTACATCTTAACTGATCATTGGTGTCTGTGAATTGTAATTTAGCTGGTGATCATTTTGGGGTTGAATGTTGATCAAAGACTTTTTACTGGCATAAATTTATTATGACTTGGTTTCAGAAGTAAAATTGAACCGAGCAGGAGGGTGTTATGTTGTTTGATGTGTGTCATTTTTGGGGGTTGAGGGGGAAGTTTTTAGAAGAGGGTATTGTCTTGTGTTGACAATGTTATTTGTTTCTGCGCCTTCTCCATTTTAAATGTCTAATATCTACATACTGTCATTGTGGGATATAGGGCTTCAGTAAGGAGGGAAGAACCATGCTTCCTAGGAAAGAGCTATTCAAGAACACTCTAAGGAAGGCAGCATATGCATGGAAACGGATCATTGAACTTCGTCTATCTCGTATGACTTCATTTTAGTTTTTTAATACTTTTCACAAGTTCTGCCCTAAAAGAGGCATCTAATCGAAGTTCTGTTGTTTGCTGATTGACTTGAATTTCATTTCTGCAGAAGAGGAAGCCACTATGTTAAGGCGTTACGTAGATGAGCCTGCTTTTACTGATCTTCATTGGGTAACCTCTTGTTTTGTGTTTTGCTTTTACATGTGTTAAATTTTGCAATGCTGCTTCCTTTGCATTCATTATTTACATGCATAATGCACATGAAGACTAAAAAACACTAAATTTAGAGTTGGTGCAATAGTCTTATGCCCTTCCCTTTTCGTTGCTTCAAATCCAAGGATTGTCATTCACCTGCCAACATTTTTTTTTTCATTAGGGAATGTTTATACCTGCCATAAAAGGACAGGGCACAGATAAACAGCAGGAAAAGTGGCTGCCGCTGGCTTACAAGATGCAAATAATTGGCTGTTATGCTCAAACTGAACTTGGTCATGGGTCCAATGTGCAAGGCCTTGAGACCACTGCCACATTTGATCCTCAAACAGATGAATTTGTCATTCATAGTCCAACATTGACGTCAAGCAAGGTAAGACTGGTCCACTGCTTTTTTTCCTGTATCCTTTTGCAAAACAATTCTTGATTTTTAGCATCTTGAGGAATGATGCTCAAAATATATGATACTCTATTATGCAAGCTATGCCTCCTGTGATCTTTGGTCTGCTGCTACTTTTTTATCATCCAATATGCTATTTGAAATAAATGTATCATCTCTATTGTCACAGTATTCATCAAGATATAGAGAATTCCCCTGATTCTAGCTTTTTTACATTTTTGAATAGTGGTGGCCTGGTGGATTGGGTAAAGTGTCTACCCATGCTGTTGTGTATGCTCGTCTTATAACAGATGGTAAAGACTATGGGGTTAATGGTAAGTCAATGATTTTATATGTTACAAATTGGTGCAGTGCATGTCACTTTCAGGGAAGATGCTTACGTTTGATTGACTATTCATATTGTAGGTTTTATTGTCCAACTACGGAGCTTGGAGGACCACAAACCTCTTCCAGGTGTTACTGTTGGAGACATTGGAATGAAATTTGGGAACGGAGCATACAATTCCATGGATAATGGGGTGTTAAGCTTTGATCACGTGCGCATTCCAAGAGATCAAATGTTGATGAGGTTTGTGGTTTTCCATTATCGAGTTATATAGCTCTTTCCTTCCTTTTTCCTTTTGAGTGTATGTATGACGGCTCCAAGATACGCCCCTCTTGTTATACACTTTTTAGTTTTTTTTTAAATTAAAAAAAGATATTCATAGCCCTCTAGTTTCAGCTTCCTGTGTTTAACTACATAGTCTTGGTAAGGGTTACCTATTAGGAAATTTTGGAATTTCTGGCCTCTTATTATATAAAAAAAAATTACTGTTCAAATGTTACTAGGCTGATCCCATGAGCGAGCCAAGAACCACATCTCTCTCTCTCTCTCTCTCCTGTATCAATAATTTTGATTTCAAGTGTTTGGCTTATTACCATATTATATTAACATGGTAGTTATTATATTTGCTTCCAATATTTCAGGGTTTCTCAAGTTACAAAGGAAGGAAAATATGTTCAGTCTGATATTCCTCGACAACTCCTTTATGGGACCATGGTATATGTACGGCAATCAATTGTAGCAGATGCTTCCCTTGCAATGTCTCGGGCTGTGTGTATTGCAACCAGATACAGTGCCGTTCGTAGACAATTTGGCTCTCAGAATGGTGGACAAGAAACTCAGGTAATCTTGTAAGCAATCTGTCAGTAGTTGAATAAGTTGTCATTTGCTTATGCCTTGCATTTAACTGGTGCAAATAAAAAGGGGCACTTGTATTAAGATTTTCAATTTAATATTGATCTTCCTTTTCCAAAACAAAAGAAAAAAAGAAGGTTCTTTGTGCTTTATGGAACTTGTTTGCTTATTCCCAAGTGAAACCCATACCATACAAC